CCCTTCACGGCGGTGACGTAGTGGATCAGATGATCCTCGGGATCTGTGGTTCCGTCATATACCCTCAAGTAGGGTGGCATCTTGAAGGTTTTTGGGGTGGAGTGAGGGGCAGCTTCTTCAGTGTATGGTTGTTCAACGAACCTTCCCACGTCGCGTTTTGGTAGCAACTTGGGAGCACCGGGGATCTTGTCGACCCTCTCCTGATGTTCCTTCATCTGACCGCGGAGCGCCTTGTTTTCATTTTCCATTTCTTCCATCTTCTTTAGGATGGCTGTTAGCGTGCCATCGTTGGTCTGTGTCTCGATGGGTTTGTTATTCGCTAGTGTAACTTCCGGTTCACCCACGGCAGTAGTGGTACCTACCGTTGGTGTACATCCGATGTTACTTTGTGGTGACCTCTCAACCAAGCCACTTAGAGAGCTTGTTAGCCATCTGTCCAGTAGCTCTTTGACCGCTGAGGGTGCTTCCGTAACCGCAGATGTGAAAGCTCCTTTTTCGTGCAAGATCGTCAGACCGTCGGATGGGGAAGGTGAGATCTCTGCACCCGGTGTGATGCTAGGGGTTGCATTCAGGATGCCATCGTCACTGGCCTCGTTGAGAGGGCCAAGGAGATTGGTAGTGACACCCAATATAGCTTTCGATCTTGTGTTATTTTCGGCCATTTTCTGTTTTTGGTGGTGTAGAGAATGGTAGTTGGTTGATCTCTAGGTGGATACTATGGTTTTGATTCTCGAAATCCCCACAGACACCGCCAAATTGTTTGGCTCAAAAGTTAACAATATACTTTGTAAGCTAAAAAACAATCAAAAGTAGGAAAAGGGTAAATCGTAATCAAATATAATAATCCTAGAGATGCAAAGATGATAATATTGTTGTAGATCTAGTATTGCAAAGAGACAGTATGAACTCAATAAGATACGTTCGTTTGAAGTAGAGATAGAGAGAGAAAGTCAGAAAAATGAGAGAGTTGTATTAGATCAGATGCCCCCTTTTACAATGTGAAGGTCTCCTTTATATAATAGGAGACCTTCCTCGAAAGAATCAAAAAATTACAAAGATAGGTAACGTCTCCCTAGTGAAGACATTGAGTCCTAAACGATGTCGCTTTTGCCCCCACGGCCGAGTCGTACCCGCTACGTTGGTAGGCGTACACTCATTGGGCGTACCCACTGGCGTAGAGATGCTGAGAGTCAAATTTGACCCTATACAATAAGGTTATTACAAATAATTTTTTTTAATCAATAACTTAATAAAAATGGAATTGACATAATATAAAATGTCAAATTACAGTGATAATACAAATAATATTTACATAACTCAGTACTGTGTATATTACTTAAATCCCTCCAAAAAGTATAATGTGCTTGGAGTATGGTTAGAGACAATACATATATTATCCTTTTCAAGACGGTAAATTCTGGCCTTTGAAGAAACAAATAAATAAAAGCACCAAATCATTTCTACTCCAAAGACAGAAGTAGTTGGGTCATGAAAATTTTCCATGGCAAACACATGCATCCCACGGAAAATATATTAGTGTATACCATCTAGCCTTTTGTACAACCTTTATATTATTCTCTTTTCTTCCTTTTTTATAAAGTATCTTCATATATAATTATAACGAGTTCATTAAAAAAAAAAAAAAAAAAGTCAAGAGAAATTTCATTTTCAAAAGATCAACAAGCTAAGGGACACAAGTTTACCATTTCTTAAGCCAATGACTCTTTCACATATATATTGAGAGTGCACATCTTCCCTCTAACTTGCTCTTCCGTAAATCCTCTCTTCAGTCTGTCTTTGCTTCGAAGTTCCAATTAATGAGTTTCTTGAAACTATATCAACTTATTTCAGGGTTTTAATTTTATAAAGAGGGGCTTTCGCACGGTCAGAAGAGGGAAGAGAATAATGGAAATGTGGTGGCTATGGCGGAATGTGCTGCTAATTACGGCTGCAGTGTTAGTGGTCATGGCGGCAGCGGCGGCGTCTGCTGGCGGTGGAAATGTGACTTACGACGGAAGATCGTTGATAATAGATGGGCAAAGGAAGATGTTGTTCTCTGGTTCTATTCATTATCCTCGAAGCACCCCTGATGTATGTCCATCTCTCTCTCTCACTTACTCCACTCTTTTTTGTGTATATTCAATGAGTATCTTTAACTTCTGTATAGTGTAAAATAATTTTCAAACAGCTCACTTAAAAGATAAGTACATTTCATAAAAAGTTGGTTATATAAAATTCTTTACAGTATATTAGTGTATGTAAGTTAAACCTAATGTCCACCCATAAAATAGTACTACAGTTAAACCTTTCTATAACAAGGTCGTTTGTTTCGAGATTTTTTGACTTTTATAGCGAATAGCTGTTATACACCTATAATAATATTTGGCATTTATAGCGAATAGCTGTTATACACCTATTACACAGTGGGGGGTTTACCCAGTGCGCACAGAGTGCTCACCCGAAGGGCAGAGGCTGTGGCAGAGGCTGTATTCTTCAAATTTAAAATCTCAGGAGATATGCATTTCACTAGGTATATATTGAAGAAAGCTAATACATTATTAATAAACTTATTAACTAAGCGTACAAAGATTTAAACTCTCAGGCACACATTCTAAACCTACTAGGAAAATAAATTCTTTCAAGATTGATGGAAGAATTTTGTAATTGTAGTTGTTTCGTAAATTTCATTCTCTTACTACCGATATAACGCTTGAATTGACGAAGACTAGTATCCAAATTTTCAGCAAAAAGGTATCCAAGGAAAAATATATCATTCTCTTACTACCGATATAACGCTTTAATTGACGAAGACTAGTATCCAAATTTTCAGCAAAAAGGTATCCAATGAAAAATATATCATATGCATATCTTCAAATCTTGTGTCTTATGCAAGATAGAAACTTTGTTCAATGGAAAAGATTGTGTGCATATTTTTAGAATTGTTATTAGTATTCTTAAAGATTCTATATAAATAAGGCTGTTGCGTTTATAGATAAAAAGCTATTATAGAGAGGTAAAATATAACTTAAAAAATCGGTTCTAAAAAAGACGTGACTTTTATAATGAATAAGTGTTATATAGAGATGCTGTTATAGAGAGACGTGTAATCCCTGATAAGGTTCACTTTGACATACAACAAGCGGGTTTCTCGAAAACATGTAATTAAGGAAGGATCGTTTAAGTTTAAAAGAACACTTGACTAAGAAAATGGATAAAAACAAAAGTAACTGACAGGCCACTTTTATTTAAACAAAAGATTTAGTAGGTAACTATTGTAGCAATGTGAATAGTGGGATTATTATAGTATAACATAGGCAAGCAAACCGCTAAAAAAATACTCCCTTAAGTAAGATATATTCCAGTGGATGGGGCTTTTAAATTAGTGGTTAGGATTAAGAATCTTACTGGTAATTCATCTGAATCTAATTTTCTCTAAGATGTTTAAACTTTCTTTTGGCTAGGTGGGGGGGTGGGGTATTATATTCTCTCTTTTCTAACCATAATAATTTTATATGTTATGTATAGATGTGGCCATCTCTAATATCAAAAGCTAAAGAAGGTGGGATAGATGTGATTGAGACCTATGTTTTTTGGAACCTTCACGAACCCCAACCTGGACAGGTAATTACATACATATATATATATAGACACATGCAAATACATATAGACTTGTATACACATATTTAACAAGTTGATTGCCTTTTGTGAATTGATGATATGAACTAGTTTATCTTAATGTTTCTTAGTAAACTAATTCTTTTAATTTTTAGTACGATTTTAGCGGAAGGCGTGACATAGTAGCATTTATTAAACAAATTAAAGCACAAGGTCTCTATGCCTGCCTTCGCATTGGACCCTACATTGAGGGAGAATGGACTTATGGGTAAATTTTACATCCTTCAACTTTATGATCTCTGCACCCAGAGTCCCAAAGTATTTCTAATGTTTAATTTTTGGCCCCTATTTTTGTGCCAAATTGACTAAGCTACATTGATCTTTATAGAGGTTTTCCCTTTTGGTTACATGATATCCCTGGCATTGTCTTTCGCTCAAATAATGAACCCTTCAAGGTAATTTTCTTTTTCTAATATTTTTTTCCTCCCAAGTCCCATTATCGTAATATAAAAATATTTTACAGCTAAAAAATAATTTAAAAATAGCTTAACAATTTGCTTAATTTCTTGACAGTTGTACATGCAAAACTTCACTACAAAAATAGTGAACCTAATGAAATCAGAAGGATTGTATGCTTCACAAGGAGGCCCAATCATACTCTCCCAGGTTAAGTCTCCACATTTTTATGAGGTCTTTACTTGGTTTAATTGGCTGTCAAAAATCGTCATGATTTTGAATCAATTTTTGAAATAGAAAAAATCTCAACTCATAACCGTTATCTTCAGAGATACATCAGAGTACAGTTTGATTTGCACCACTTAATTAGTTATAATAATAATCCGTTTTGTGATTCAACTTACTTTATTCAACAAAGAAATCATATTGGCCTCGAACTTGTTGCAAAACCAGCTAGTCTTCTTGTTGGGAACCATGTGAATATACTGTTTAAGTTTCAATTTTCATTATACAAATAGCACTTTGTCTTTTACATGTAAGAGATCTAAAAAAAGTCATTTTCTTAAATTCAAAATTGTAAAAGGCCATGATGTACAAATAATATTTTTTTTGGTACTACATAATATGATCATCATTAAGACTGCTTTACAAGGTAAATCAATTTCTTGAATTTTTTTTTTCTGTTTTCTTGGGTAGTGGAGAGCAGAGGCCGTATGGCTGTGTGTGTGTGGGGTGGGGGTGGGGGGGGTTGGTAGTAGTATTGAGCAGTAAAGTGCAAAAAAAAAAAAAAAAAAAAGAACATCGATAAGTAATTGGAGCAATTAATTGAAGTACAAGTAAAAAGAGTTACCTCTAAAACTCATTTAAATGACCTAAAGTTCTTTTTCAGAATTTAGTGTTAGATAAAGTCTCTTTCAGAAAAAATATTCTCAATGGTCTAATACGACCTAGTCTGTTATCTAATAACATCAATAGATATTTCTATTTTAATATGACAAAATCTATACGCACGAATAATGTAAAGAATATTTACACTATTAGTATAATTTAAAATATTATTAATTTCACTTTTATTTAAAGGTTATCATTTTTATCTTGTTACACTATCAAGATACATAAATTAAACTCATTTGAATAATACACGCAGATTGAGAATGAGTATCAAAATGTAGAAAAAGCATTCAGAGAAAATGGGCCACCTTATGTCCTTTGGGCGGCAGAGATGGCTGTAGGACTTCAAACTGGGGTGCCATGGTGCATGTGCAAGCAAGATGATGCTCCTGATCCTGTTGTATGTTCCCTCTCTTCTGTTTTTTTTTTTATTTCTAAATTATGGTGGTGTCCGAAATCCGAATCAACTTATGCACAATTCGACTATTACACGGAGTATTTGCTATCTCCCATTAATACAAATATAGATAACCACCAAGCTTAGGAAGATGGGAAGAAATCGTTCTCCTCTTTCTCAACAAATTACTTGTTTTCCATTTTCCCAACTCTACCTTTTTGCTCTTCACCTTTTTTATTTCATTTTCTTTAAGACATTTTCTTTAAAATTTCTTACTCTCTACCACACAGGTCAGACTTTCAAGAACATTATTTTTGATAACCGAAGAATTCTCAAGGATTAACTAATGGATGATTCAAAACTCGATGGATAATAGAACCGCTTTGTTCTCACTTACATACTACTCCATACTTTTTGATCTGTAGCAAGGTTATACTTTGCAACATAAGCCAAATTAACATATAGGGCGTTGCGCTTCTATCACTGAACCAAAGCCGCACATGTTTTATAAAATTGTAACCCAAAAAAAAAAGCTAAATTTCGATTAAGTTTACAACTACAACAACAACAACAGCCCAGTGTAATTCCACAAGTGGGGTCTTGGGAGGGTAGGATGTACGCAACCTTACGCCTACCCTGGAAGGGCAAAGAAACTGTTTCCGATAGACATGGAAGAAGCGCTGATAGCTGTCATAGCAAGACAATATATATACACACACATATATATATATATATATATATATATATATATATATAGAAACCTAAACCGAAGATGGCAATAAAGAATATGAAAGAAGTACTGATAGTAAGTAATAGCAAGACAATATATTTAGGGAACTAAATTCGAGGGTCTAATAGCAATAGATAATATGAATGGAGTACTGATAAAACTAGGGAAGTACTGACCCTCGGATATTTCAAATAATAATTTAAAACAGAAATTATTTGAGAGAATCCATCACCACACTAATCCAATGTATATAACGAAAATATTTCAAAAGAAATAACTCTAATGTCACTTCCCTGTTTACTGGTCAATTCTAACTTCCAGTAAACACTATCTGAGCCCAACCCTTCTTATCTCCCCTGCTTTCCTCAATGATTAATTAAAAATCAATTAGTCCACAAAAGGCACCAGTAAACTTTAACAAAATAAGTGACTTCCATATAATCACAAGAAACACATTAAGCGTGCACCAGTAAACTCTTAAAAATAAAAATGACTTACACTTAAAACAACAACAACAACAACAACAACAACGGCCAGTATAATCCCACAAGTGGGGTCTGGGGAGGGTAATATGTACGCAGACCTTACCCCTACCCGAGGGGCAGAGAGGCTGTTTCCAGGAGACCCTCGGCTCAAGAAAGCAACAAGAGACAATATATTAGAAACCAAGGACCTGCAACTTATGAAAGTGAAAAAAAGAGAGGATTCAAGGACTTGTAGCTAACTTTGTTTACTACAGATTAATGCATGCAATGGGTTGAGATGTGGAGAAACATTTGTAGGACCTAATTCACCAAACAAGCCTTCAATCTGGACAGAGAACTGGACAAGCTTGTAAGCTGTTCTACTCTACTTTTCTATTTATGCAGTATATAATGAATGAATTTGCTTTAAGATCTTTATTTTGGTCTTAAAAGCTATCAAGTCTATGGTCAGAATGCAACACTCAGATCAGCAGAAGACATAGCATATCATGTTGCCCTGTTCATTGCGAGGAAGAATGGAACCTTCATCAACTATTACATGGTAAAATTTAACACCCACAAAGATTTTCTATAGCAACATCTTTGCCTCATGCCAAACAACTGAAATACTATTCAAGTCCGCGTTATCAAACATAAGCTGCTTTATCATACTCTAACAAGGTTCTCTGACTTCATTATCAGTATCATGGAGGAACCAATTTTGGCAGGAGTGCTGCTGAATATATGATAACAAGTTACTATGATCAAGCTCCGTTAGATGAGTATGGTAAGCAATCCAGAGAATTCACTAATGCTTCCAAGTTTTTCGCTACTTCTGACTGAGAATTCTACTACAGGTTTAATCAGACAACCAAAATGGGGACATCTGAAAGAGTTACATGCTGCGGTTAAGTTATGCTCAGAGACCATACTTTCTGTATTCCCCTCCATGCAGTCCTTAGGTGAACAACAAGAGGTAAAGAAACTGTTTTCAATATCATGATGATCATCTTCAATGTCAAAGCCTACAAACACCGCGTACATAACAAACTGATTTATCTCACCCCCTCTCCCCCACAATGTGCAAACCAGGCTTATGTATTCAGTGGAGATTCTGGAGCTTGTGCAGCATTTCTAGTGAACATAGATAACAGAAAAAGTGTAGTAGTACAATTTCAAAATTCGTCATATGAGTTACCTCGGCAATCTATAAGCATCTTACCTGACTGCAAGACTGTATCCTTCAATACAGCAAAGGTAAATTCTGACATACATAAGAAGCTTCTTTCAGTTCTACTTATGGTTAACTTTTTCAAATCCCCTCCCAAAGGGCTCCATTGATGATTGACAGAAGGCCAACACGCTATTCAGTAACTTACCGCTAACTTTTAGAATGAAAAGAAATGTATAGATGCCTAATTTATCTCCTTATCCTCAATTTAGAGAAATTATGATTTAAAAGCATAGAAGATACTGAACTGTCTGTTTGTGCATCTGTAATAGGTAAGCACACAATTTAACACAAGAACAGCAATACCCGCCGTTAAGTTTGATTCAGCTGAGAAATGGGAACAATTTCAAGAGGTTATTCCACAACTTGATGCTACTTCAATGAGATCAGACATATTACTGGAGCACATGAATACTACAAAGGATGTATCTGATTATCTTTGGTACACTTCCAGGTACCACAAAAGATCCTTAATATACCACTCGAGTCAGAAGAATAGAGTAATAATATTAGATCAACTAGACCAGGACTGAAGGACATCTTTCAGCTAAATATACTGGCACAGTATGATGTAAAACAAAATAATAACTGCATTCTAGGAACTATTGCCTTTTACTAATATCTGTGAAATCCACATGACAGTATCCAGCAGGATTTGCCAGACCAGCAGTCAGTTACACTAAGTGTGAAGTCCTTAGGCCATGTTTTACATGCTTTTGTGAATGGAGCACATGCAGGTAATCGTTTCATTGAGGATGCAATATACAAAATGAGAATTGTGTCATGCAATTTGAAAAGTAACATTTTTGTGGGTTTGTTCCGAGTTTAAAATGATAATATCAAGGGGTAAATTGTTTTGTCCTACAAATGAGAAAAGATGTTATGCACCCCTGCGCCCAACACACAATCATAGAAAATCAGGAAATAAAACTGAAACAGAACGGGAGAAAGATAAGCAAGATCTAAGTTGCTCAGACATGGCGGTTTAGGTGCCGCACCCGTGTCGACACGACACTAGTATGGGTGTGGGTATGGGATCCCTACCGGATCTGGTCAAACAATTTTGAGTACTTTGACCATGACGGACAGAAAAATTCGAGATGAGATACAATTTGATTCCTGAAATCAGAACCAAACTTAGGGTAAATTTGAAGAAAATAGCATACCTCATCTAGGAAATTAATCCTTTACTTATCTACAACTTGAGAATAAAAAAGAAATCCACACTTCACAAGCTATACGTAAGTATTCCACGGAATTTCTTATAATTTAGAGATTTTTATATTTTTATTTTTTGAATTATTTTTAGCCGGATCCCCGCACCGATATCCGTAATAGGATCCGTATCCCCGAATCTTAGAATTTATATCTAGAAGGATCCGACCTCTAGATCCGCACCCGTGTCCGAGCAACTTAGAGCAAGATACAGTAAGCAATTATCTGTTACAGACTATTCTTTATTGCATGATAACGAGAAAAAGAGACACACAAACACCATATTTCCTAATACAAATTTTAAACTACAGTGATTTCAGCTGTACCATTGGTTAAAAGACTTATTAGATTTCCACATTCTATACTTCATTTATGGAAATGGAACTTGGGAATGTAGAAACTGGCTTGACTAGTGAAGAAAAAAAAAACTTCTGTTTCCAAAAAAGAAAAAAAAGAACCCATAATTTTTCGTTTCTTAGTGTTCCTAATACCAATCTATATACTGAAGAACTGTCTCCCGAGAGAAGGTTGCATAACCAGTGTCTCTTCTATGTGAAGCACAAGTTAACATAATGTGCAGCTCAAAACATCAATTTGCACAACAAAACGTCTTAAAGTATTTTAACTGTCGAGATTTGTAGGTTCTGCACATGGACAATTCAGAAATACATCATTTACTTTAGAGAGCACTATTTCTCTAAATAAAGGGACAAACAACATCTCATTACTAAGTGCAACTGTTGGCTTACCGGTATGTACTTTCATTTCCTTTGTTGGTTTACCTGGTTTGCAACTAATAATACATCACCCAAGAATGATTATGTTGTCAATCTCTTCATGATATTAGCAAAAAGGGGAAGTGTATATTTGTATGTGAAAGTTGCATTTTCTTCTTTTGGTGAAAAGAGACACATAAGGAAGAAGAGTACATTATGAATTGCAATGTTGCATGTACAAACCCTTTTTACCTCTCAGCCTTAGAAGCACCTAAAGAGACAGCATTTCAGAGCACTGGAGCCAAGTTCATGTATTCACATGACTTGCTTAAGCACCTTCTTCTTTAGATTTATGATCTCTAGCTAGTTTTAGAAAAACGTATTTAGTAGCAAGAGATTATATAGATAAAAGTGTTTTGTATCTTTAACATGCAGGATTCAGGATCATTTCTTGAACATAGGGCTCTTGGTGTACAGTCAGTAATTATTCAAGACAACAACGAGGCGAAAAATATCACCAATTACTCATGGGGTTATCAGGTAATTGTAAGCTAATAGATAGCCCAAATCTTTTCTTTGTTTAGTCATCGATGTATTGCCAATGCCATATATTGTACAAACCACTAATTTAATCAAAAAAGCTTTAGGGCATTTAATGTTTTATGTCACAGCAATCTATTTGGTACAGCTCGTTATTTAATAGAGCAGTTTTAAGGCTGAGAATAACAAACCTGGCAACCATAATTCTTTGGCAAGCGATTATATTTTATAATTAAGCTTACATGAGTATAAAACATTTTCTTAAGGTTGGATTATTGGGGGAGAAGTTACAAATTTACTCATCTGAAGGATCAAAGAGTGCTAATTGGAGCAGCTTAAGCTCTTCTCAACCGCTCACATGGTACAAGGTAAGTCTGGATCCTTTCTGGGTATTTTTTCTATATCATGTAGTTCTATTTGTTAAAGCGACTAAGAGATCCTCGGCAATTCAGTATGTGTTTATGTTTCTGTTAATAATGCTATAATTTACGGTCAGCTCTAGCACATTCCAATTTCCAATATATTTGTTATTTAACTCAACCTATGATATTTTGATTGCAACTTGCCAGTCAGCTTTTGATGCACCCGAGGGTGATGATCCTATTGCATTAAATCTTGGCTCCATGGGAAAAGGTGAAGCTTGGGTTAATGGCCAAAGCATCGGCCGATATTGGGTCTCCTTTCGAACACTTGCAGGCATTCCATCACAAACTTGGTATGTTATTTCTAGAATAAGCAGGCCATCTCAGAAACAGTCTATCTTCTCTCTTAAATACTAAATGAGCCTCTTCACTTAAAGATCTTATCCACAAGGAAGTTTATTCAGGATAGCTCAGAGTTGTATTCAGTTATTAATGACTAAACCTCAAGCAACTAAAATTGTTCATTTCCAGGTACAAAGTTCCAAGATCATTTCTCCAACCAGGAGACAACTTATTAGTCTTATTCGAGGAGGAAACCGGCAACCCTCTTGACATCACTGTAGACACTATTTCAGTCACAAAGCCGTCATTGAGAAAGTAAACCACTTCTCCTCATTTTCGTACCAATTTATTACCTTCACGAACTATTTCTACTTAGAAATGAAAATTTTCAAGATATGAAGGAATAGCAATACGTTGACCTAAAAATATGACTATCTAATTCTAAATTATGATGATTAATGAAACAAGTCAATTAACAACCCTATATAGAATTTCTTCTGAAAAACAATTTCCATGATAGGTCGAGATCAACAATCCAATATATCAAGTCAACACTTAAGAGATACAATTCCTACATGCAGAATTCATTTCTCATCCCTGAACCAATACTCCCTTTTTTATAAATTTAATCACTCTTCCTACACTGGAATGTCTCAAAAAGATTGTGGTACAGAGCCACAACTTCAAGATTCAAATTAGCTGGAACTAAAACCACAAAGATAGACGTTACGCCTTTTACATATCCTATACTAACTAAAATACAAGTATCTATCAGCACCATTTGCACCCCTTTTATAAAAAGAATAACTAATCTTGTCTGATTTGCTTGTTTCTTTTCAAAGGCTCTCTTAATGGATCCAGTTTTTGATGTCAATATTGTAATGTGTGTCTATCAACCATTAATACCTATAGAGTAACTAATAGTACTATTTTGAGCTTAATCAATGTTGGCTCAAGATCTTCAGACAGAAATTCTCTTACAAAGAAAACCAATTATTGAAAAGTATACACATACTGAAGCTGAAAGACCAAGTTAAATGCTACAGTCCAGTAGGATTCTTTTTTCCCCCACCAATTTGCAATCACTTTTCACTGTGATAGGTCAAACATTACGATCTAGTATGTGTATTTGTTCCTAATTCAACTATGTGCCAATCAAACAAAAGCATGTCCATCAAAACCATCATCTTATCAAGTGTATCATATAAAGTTGGTAATTGTCCTATCGTTTCGCTTTATTTACATTTTTCAACTATGACTTTCCAGGCTTGTCTAGGGATGAAGACATTCACCTTCTCTCACTCAAATAAAACCTTCGGGAGATCCATATAATCAGGAATTCATAAGACTCTGCCAGTTGATGCTCCGCAAAGATAGAAGAACAATGTTGACCTTTCTTTGTTTGGGTGAGGCTCAGACGTGATTTACATATAAATGTTCAAAATCATAGGAATGTAGAAATACAGAACGATATTATCACACAGGTCATTGATTCATTCAAATGAGGCACATTGCTATAATCAGCAATTTGAAGTTTACCTGTATAGATGAAAAGGTCACAATAGAAATGTTCAAGTTCCTAAAATCTGAATTTGAGAACCATATTCACGTCTTTTACAGTGCAAGAATCAATCGGGCATTTCATTGACGGTTTTTCTGTCCGATACATTCCCAAGAAAAAAATGACGAGTAAGATGGGAGAAGATGGATCTAATCAGATCAATAGGCAATGCAAACTGAAACCGCCAACCAATTTCACGCACAATATGCTGTTAATGCAAATTAATATGTTCTTACAAAAGGAAGTCCTACATATTTCAAATATGTGAAACTTAAGCAGCCTGAATGTCCAGATTGGAACTAACAAAACAGACCAACAAAGACCCAACTTACAAAATTTAGGTTGCTAGTCACCACCAATCAAACAATTATGGTACAATGACTTCATGCTCATGCAAAACGCTCACCTGCTACTCTGCTAGATGCATTTTATCATGCCTGCAAAGGAATTGTTAATTAATTAATAAAGACATTATCATTGCCAAGAAAACCTCAAGAAAGAACAGGAGCCAGAAAAAGCAGATAATTAGGATTTCTCCCTCATCAGTAACCAATATTTTTTCCTGGACACAAAGAAGGAAGTGCAGCATCTTCTGGCAGATGTTTAGAAAACTTAGGGGTCATTTGGTTGGGAAACAAGTTACCCCGGAATTAGTTATCCCACACTCTCATAGGGATAAGAAACACTACAATCCCGGGATTAGTTATACCACGATTTTATCCCAACCAAACGTGGGATAAACTCATCTCAAATTTGATCTTGGGATTAATTATCCCTATCCCTCGTACCAACCGAGCCCTTAAGGTACTAGTTAACCTAACAGTTCTTCAAGTAGAAATCCTCAAATACATATATATCATATAAACTAACAAATTATATAATATAATCAAATGCAGCAAACTAGAACCGTAAAGCAAACATTTCATGTAGAATCACTTTTCTACGCAATATACATTCTTTTCAATTTTAACATCCATAAAACTGAAAATATCAGCAATTCTAGATGAAAAATCTTCTGAGATGCTTTGATACCTCAGATGGTAAGAACTAGAAAGAACAGTCTTCATCAGCTCTGCACGTAGATTAGGTCTAACTTCGAGCATGAAAACACAAGCACGACGTATCATCCTATAGGGATCTCTGTGATCCCACCCTGTTTTCTTTTTTTGGATTTAGGAGACTTCTCTACTGTAGAATTCAAAAGGCTTGATGTCAAGAGTGCTTTCTGCGAAGGTAGTTCCGCAATGAAAAGCAGAGTTTGGGCCCAACCAGCATATTTTCCATATGTCTTCACAAAAGCATCTGCTACACGACTGCTAAGTTTAGGTGTAAGACTGGTTCCTGCTAGCTCAGGGAGGAGGTACTTGGTCGCGATCTAGCAAAAGATCAGGAAGAAATGTTAAATGGTATTCACAGATATGAACAGAAGTACATATTCTGAATTTACGTAACTTCAAAGAGCAAATTTGCTGCATGTTCGCATGTTTGCATGTCAATACTATAATACGTGTAACAGGGAACGGATGATAAATATAGGTAATAGCAGAATCTGGGCCAATTTACATCGTGGAAAACTCGCTGCACTGTAATACTCCCTACCCTAAATGGTTCACTTTTCACTTCTGCATCCAGTGCTTTTAAAGCAAGATGCACACAAAAGCGACGAGGTCCATGGGGCTTGAAGCAAAAAGTGAGAAGTGAAGTGCGTGCTTCTTTGAAATGAAGCACACAATTTATGAAAAATTAAAATGGAGCCACATATACATGAATTTAGAGCTGTAGTAATCAAAGAAAAAAACTAACTTCAGCTCTAGTGTACACTAATATGAATATTAGTCCAACTCAAAATTGAGATTCAAAAAACCACCACTTTTATTTTGGATCACTTTGCGAGAATGATTCATGCTCTACAGTCTACAACTTTCCAAATTAGCAGAACCTTCTTATAAGAAAAAGGCTAATTTCACCCCAGACCAGATAATTAGAACACCCCACAGCAATTATTGTGATCCTCACCCTGCTCACGTTGACAAGTTATATAACTTTTCTTGGATATGTTATGACGCAAACAATTGTATTAGCAAATGGCTTATCCACCCTATTAATAAAGCTGCCACTCCCTAAGCTGGTGTAACTTTACTTTCGGTGTTAGGGCACCTGTTCTCTTTTATATCTCAAAAGCATCCATGAATTGAGATTGGCAAAAGGAACTAATATAAAATACAACTAATTAGTCTCATGGTGTAACATCTACCTCTCTTCGCTAGTAACAGACTAACATCTTGATTGCCTTCTAAAATTTAGCAAGAGAAGCACCCTACAGGCAGTCTATAATCTGCAGTACACGCATGCATGAATTGTGCCACAAGCTCTAGTACTAAACTGCATGTACCCATTCTATCATACAGAAAGACTGCTCACATGTTGCTAAACTTTTGTCATCCGTATTCAGCATCATGGAGCAGTACTCTCATAATTTCACTTTTCTTTGTTAACCAAAGAAGCTAATCCTTTCAGGAACAAAGCATCCCCAAGACCATTTGCTTCCTCAAGATTCTGGCACTTAGACAGACAGTAAAGCTCCAAGCTCTTTACCTTTAACTCTTAATACAAGCGGAAATATGCAAGGACATGCACCAAAAAGTTGGTCTGTATTTAGGAAGAAACAAAGGCTAGAAAACTGCCAACATGCAGGCTCCTATTTGCCTGACGTAAAGGGAACTTAATAATCAGTAAGACTATCTCATCAACAAAAACAAATTACGGACAATTAACCAACTTCTAAACTGTGATTACTATGAAGCATATTTCTGCTCTTTTTTTTTTAATTGGTATAGGAAAAAGTTTCTTCTAAAGAAATAGATAACAATTGTTGAAGTGTGTGACCATCTCATCTAAAAGCTTAAAATGTTAAAAGAGCACACTTTTAATTACTTAATTATATTATGTCTCACAACACGCCCCCTCACGAGTGGGATTGCTTCTTTTTCATTGGTCAAACACGTGAAATATATTTTACTTTTTGGATGGCAGTGAGATTAAATCCAGGACCTTTGTCTGCACTGGTACCATGTGAATAAATGCACATTGGGCCTAACTCAACCCCAAAGGCTAGCTCATGAGCGGAGAATTGCTGAAAATCATATGAGTAGACCACAACCCATTCCCTCAACAAATATGGGACTTACCACCCCTCTCGCACGCCTATGACCAGACAACTGGAGCGTGAATAATGGGGGGTTCCATATTGAGAAACACAAAAACATGAATCGATGAGTCTGGCTCTGATACCATGTTGAAGAATGTGACCATCTCATCTAAAAGCTTAAGTTGTTAGAGATAGCACACATTTAATTACTTAATAAAAATATTATGTCTCACAACAACAACACTAAAAGGATGCATTCAGAGCAGGCATGGGAATAAATGTGAAGGAGAAGAGGAGCATAATAGCATCTAGGAAAAAATGTTTTTATGCCGAAGTGAAAGAGTCGTGAAAGAGTCCAAAAGCTGCACAAACCCTTAATCCATAAAATAACCATTCACCAACATATCTGCTAAAAGTCAATAAACTTAAACTCCTCTAGCAGTTTCTTTAGTCCCCTTTTTTTTATAAAGAACTCATTAGTCCAATCTACATACTCTTTCTGCAACAAAATGCAGGTCCAGGAACATATCAAGCAATGAAGGAACAACAATATCTACTACAACAATGATAATAATCTTCTTTTAGGTTTATCTTAATTCAAAATATTTATAAAAGCGTGAGAACATATCTTATATCTCGGTATGGCATCAAATTCAAAGGAAAATGCATATGTCAGAAATTTGACAATCTGCTCAAGTTGAAAACGGTGCAGAAACAAAATAACATGGAGAGATGGTGTAATCTCTTAAACAACAAGAAAAGATAAAGCCCTTGAAAGCTAACCTTCCACACATGAGTATCAACAGGAATAGCATGGTGCTGATCAAGAGAAAAGAGAGAAATACATGCTGCGACCTTAGGACCAACACCAGGTAGAGAGCACAGAGCATCAATGGCCTCGGGAAGATCTACTTTACGAAGTGCAGCAAGCCACTCCGTACCTCCACCAGGCTTTGATTGCAGTGCTTCCACTGTACCAACTATATATTTGGCCCTGCTCATTTCTAGAGACTGATTAGAAGAAGGCGAACAAACAAGTTACAGGGAGTTGGGACACCAAACATCAGGAGTTTTATGTAGAGAGTTACTGAATATAACTACAACTTGACATCAGTTCAAGTATGACTAGAAAGTTAAAAGTGTTCCCCTCGCCTAAACAAAATACCTAAAGTTTCTGCCTAAAATATGCCCCAAGTTAAATGCAAAAGAAAAAAGAAGGGAAGAAACAACCCAAAAGTTGAAGATATAGGATGTATCACATTATCCGTCATTACATACTAGTACCATTTAACAGGTTTTGGAAATAATTCACTATCAAACTGTTAACCAAGCAGACCTATGTAATGCCAAATAGCATTTCAAAGCTACTAGAAATCTGACTATCTGAAATACATGCATTTCTTTACTGGGAGTTTGAAACAAGAACAGAGGGGGAAAGGAAACTTAATGGGAATTGAGATAAAGCTCATCAATTTCACTGCAATTCCATACACCATCAACACCTCTTCTATAAATATAATTTTGTGCATTCTCAAGGTAAGGTTGTGTATATAAGAGACTATGTCGTCCGGCCCTTTCCTAGACTCCTCGCATAGCAGGAGCTTAGTGCACCAAATGAAAGACATAAGGACCTATTCATATCATATCATATCATGGGACATATGAATTAAATAAAAACATAAGTCTGGAACCACAAAGATTGCAAAAGAGCATACCTGTAGCCAAAACCAGCAGCTCTTAGCTCTTGTTCAGAAACCATTGCCAACCTTTCAAGTGAAGGGAACTCATAAAACTTGAAACCTCCAACATCTCCCAAATAATTCCCCAATGACGAAACAAAATCGACCATCATGGTAATTCTCTTGATATTATTATTAGATGAGCAAATAAACTGAATGAGACACTCAAGTGGGTCTTGCCTTAGGACTCTAGCACCCTCCAAATGTGTAGCCAACTCAGCAAATCTCGAATCAGAAGCCTTAAAACTCTCCCAAACCTCACTTAGAGAAATACCCACATTGAGAAAATCAACAAGGGCTTCCTCCCTAGAAGCAGCAGCCTTAGAGTTAGTGCAATGAAAATGGTATCCAACATCACCATTGTCAAGCTGCTTCAGTGAGACCAAGTGGGACCTACCAACAACACCAGTGTACTGAATGGGCGCAGTCTGTTTCCACCTGAAGGTTTGGCCAGTTGGGAAGGTGAGGGGCAAGTAAAGTTCTGATCTTGATAAGTTGAGGGGTACCCATTTGGGGTCTTGTTCAGTTGTTGGTGTTGGATTTATTAGAATATTTCTTGGTTTTATAGAAGAGAATGATCTTGAAGTTGGGGTCTTTTTGGATTGGATAATTTGTGGGGATGGTGGGGTTGATGGGGCTGAAGGAATGGTTCTTGGTCTCTTCATGATCGGACAAGTTCTTAGTGCTTGCATCTATTTTGATTGAAAGGCACAGAGCAGAACGGAGATGCTCTCCGCTACTGAGGGACAATTGACGAAGTTTGGCTGATTGGCTCCTCGGTTCTCCTTTTTTTTTTTTTTTTTTTTAATCTTTTGTTTTTTAAATCTCATTTTTTTGCTTGTTTTGGTTTGGGCTTTTATAAATTTTCTTTTCTTTTGTCATTTTCGGGGCATTTGTATCTATACCCGCTTTTCTGATCACCTTTTAACTCGTGCCCGCTTTGCAAAAAAAAATTACAAGCGTACCCACTTTTTCGCGTAACTTGAGCATACGGGGCTGAAGTAGCAAAGGCAATCACGCAAAACTTCAGCATTCTAGTAGACGGATTCGAAGTAGCAAAAATTGCTGAACCAAGTTTGCTGAAGTTTTTGTTTGTAATTGCTGAACTTAAGCATTCTAGTGCTGAAGTTTTGTTCTCTATTTGCTGAAGTTTTTATTTGTAATTGCTAAACTTAAGCATTCTAGTAGCTGAGTTTTGTGATGCTGAAGTTATTTAGTTCATTTGTAACAACTCCAGTAATAAATACGCTAAAGTTTTTTTGTCCTGGATAAGCTTTTTCAAAAACTTCAGCAGAAGATGCTGAAGTTATTTATTTCATTTGTAAAAACTTCAGCACTAAATAAGCTGAAGTTATTTTGTCCTGGATAAGCTTTTTCAAAAACTTCAGCAGAAGATGGTGAAGTTATTTAGTTCATTTGTAAAAACTTCAGCACTATATAAGCTGAAGTTTTTGAAAAAGCTTATATAGTTTTTTGACCAATACAATCACTATATTGGATCTTCGTTTTTTTCTTTTTTCGGAACGATTTTATGGAGCATATCAGTACTTACATTAGAAAAAGGTGCCTTTAATGGAAATAAATCAAATAATCAGTGATATAAAGTGAAACTATTACTTTAACCCCACAGATCAATTTATTTGATTCAAAGATAAAAAGATTACATAAAAAATGAAGACCGGATGCTAACCTATGTTATCGTACTGAAAATATCTTAAGAAAACGAAGGAGGAGAAGGAGGAGGAGAAAGGGGGCTAAAGTTGTTTAAAAAGTGGGTACAAATTAAAACTTTTAAAAAAAATAGGTATAGGTTAAATGGGTCATTTTCCTCTTTCTTCCTTTTAGGGTGGTTTGGTTATCGGATTAGAATGTTAGTTCTCATATTAAATTGCATCTATTCACATTTGATTATTGATAATAACTAATAGAGATAAATTTTGTATCGGAATCTTCATATTATCTTATTTCATATCAGAAGTGGGATTATAATTCTCCAATAATATTATTTTTAACCAAACAACCCCTAAAAAATTTCATCTTTGCCTCCCTTATGTCTAGGGGAGTTCATGGTTCGGTTTGGGTCGGTTTTTTTCTAAAAAGAAACTAAATCAATTAAGTCAATTTTTCAGATATTGGAACCAAACCAAACCAATTAAGTCGCTTTTTTATCGATTCAATTTTTGTCGGTTTTCGGTTTTTTCGGTTATTTATTGATTTTTTCTTAAATATGAGACATACACTACCAAATGCATGTTCCAGCGACTACATTTTCAATGTACACGATCAAACCAATTTTTCTTTGAGAAATCTATCACTTACCAAGATATATTGATGATAATTGAATCAAATAGTGATGAATATTTAAGTACTCAATTAAAAATTAATTATTTTTAACATGAAATAAATTCTTATACTTAGCAAAAGAAAGCTACCAATCAAACTAGAATGTAAAGGCAAAGAATTAGATTATTATAATAGTAAATAACTAGACTAAAAATACAAATGACTAATATGTACCATAAAATTTTTAGAAACTTTATATAAAAATATACATACATTTTCGGGTTTTTATGAACACCCCTACTTATGTCTACGAGTATCTTAAAAAATTTATTTGATATACATACTACTAATATAGAACTAAGTAACTTAAAATGGTTAGAATTCTGAACCATAAGTTTCAAATTCTTGTTCTACCTCTACTTCAAACCAATATAAGTTTCGAGAAGAAGAGTATTTTGCAGTTAAAAGTAGGAAAAATACATACTTTACCCATTGACCTTGTACTCAAATCCCTCTTACACACTTGTTAAATACGGGAATAGTATTATACACCAAAACTTCTAAAAGTGTGTCAATTACACACATCTTTTGCCATGTGTCACATGCGTGTCTTACACATAAAAGAGGTTCGTGAAAACTAAAAAATTCATCTGAAATTAATTTTTTTTTCATTTTTTAACTATTTCCTTTTTAAATTAAAGAAAAAACTATAAACCCATGTCTTCTTCCTCAACCCCAAACCCCAGCGCTCCCCCCCCCCCCTTCCATGTTCGTCTTCTTCCCCAACCCCCATCCTAGTTTTGTCTCCCCCTCATGTTTCGCCTCTCCAACCACCATGACTAAGAAGAAAATGGGAGCTATTGGGTCTTGGAAAATCACAATTATTGACTTTTTGAAAAGCTTAAAAATCTAATCAGGTCTTGTTGATTTTGGTATTCTATGACCTAGAAAATTAATTTGAATTCGTGATTAGTGTTGAGTAAAAATTTACTAAAAATATGCTAAAAATTTGGTGATTAATTTTGATAAAATTCAAAAAACACCATTAACAAGTTTGAAGCTTTGGGTTTGAACTTGAATTTGAAATTTGTATAAAGATTTGTGATGAATGTTGTTAAAACTTGTTAATCGGCAAAGAATTGAATCTATAGTTTGGGAAGAAGGTGCTTGTGGTGGAAGGATTGGTGATAGTATGGTGGTGGTGGAGAAGATGATGGGATTTTTTTTTATTATTACATTTTTTTTGGTTTCCCATCCGTTGTCCAGTACCCACATTGGGGCCCGACTAAATTCGGATTCGCGCCGGAAAGTCCCACATTGGGGGGTAAAGCGCTCCCTAACAAAGGCGACTCCATTCCCAGGGGCTCGAACTCGAGACCTCTGGTTAAGGATGAAGGAGTACTTACCACTCCACCACAGCCCTTGTTTGATGATGGGGTTGGGAAGATGGGGGGGGGGGGGGGAGACAGAGGTTTTCTTTTTCAGTTTTTCTTTTTTTTTCTCGATTTATGATATGTGTCGGATGTTGATTGGCGCGTGTAATAGCAATCTTTAAGCAGATGTGGTCAAACACCGAAGTGGTGTGTAATAATATTCTAGCATTTAACAGGTGTGTAAGAGGGATTTAGGTACAAGGTCGATGAGTAAAGTATGTATTTTGCCTTAAAAGTAAGGTTTACAACTGTATACGGTATTTCAGATATAGTTTTCTGTGTTATAAATTGACATGTAAAATTAATTATACACTCTGGTGATTTAAAACTTAATTTTATGTGACGACCCGATCGATCGTTTTGCTTTCTAGATTCTCATTTTCCTATTTAAGACTTTCCGTATGTGCTTTTACTGTTTTATGATTTGCAGAGATGGTTTATTTGGCTTCAGAAGGGTTCGGGTTTAAATTCAAAACACTTAGCTCCATAATAGTGGCCTAAGGTGGCCAAGTTTGACTTGAGTCAACACTTTGAGTAAATGACCTCGGAGCCGGGATTTGAAGGTTCCAATAGGTTTGTATGATCATTTTGGACTTGGCGTATGTTCTAATTGAGTTTTGGGTGGACCGGGAGCGTTTCGACGCTTATTGTTGAAATCGGCGTCTTGAAGGTTTTAGAGTTTCCTAAGTTTAATTTGAAGTGGACTTTGGTACCATCGATGTCCGTTTGGGATTTCGAGCCTTGGAATAGGTTCGTATTGTGATTTGTGACTTGTGCGTAAAATTTGGCGTCACTGCGAGTTGTCTAAGTATGATTCCTTCCATTCAGAGCTAGTTGGAAGGAGGTTGAAGTTCAAAGGTGATTAGTTTGATTTTGAAGTACGATTCTTGGTTTCGACGTTATTTTATGTATTTTGAAACTTCAAGTAGGTTCGTAGTATTTATTGGACTTGTTGGTGCATTTGGACGGGGTCCCGAGTAGCCCGGGTGTGTTTCAAACCACCCGGAGCAAAGTCTAAATTGGCAGATTTCTGGTGCTAGTTTCCTTCTTCGCAAATGTGGAGGGAGTCTCGTGTTCTGATGAGAAATTCTGGACTGGGGAATTTTTATGCTTCGCGTTTGTGGACTGGGTGTCGCGATGGGTTGAGTGGCCTATGCGTTCGCAATCACTCGATCACATTCACATAAAGGAAGGTTGGTTGGGGGGGATGGCAGGCCTTGGCCTTCGCGTTCGCGAAGGGCAGCTTGCATTTGCGAAGGGCGGCTTGCATTTGCGAAGGGTTAGCCAGGTTAGGCATCGCGATCACGAGGGGTCCTTTCGTGTTCACGATGAAGACTTTTGGGGCGAGGGGCAGCCTTGTCTTCACGATCGCAAAGGTGCTTCCGTGATCGCGAATAAGGAATACCTGGGCAGAACACTTTTTAAAATCGAGACTTAGGCTCATTTTTCCCATTTCTCACCTTGCTTGGCCGATTTTGGAGCTTCTTGGAGGGTGATTTTCATCAAATATTTTAAGGTGAGTGATGTTTACCTAATGTGAGTTAAATACATGAGTTATGGATAGATTTTAACATAGAAATTATTAGAATTTTGGGATTATGAAAAACTTAGGGTTTAGTAAAAGATGGGATTCGACCACGAAATTAATTAAGGAATTGGCTATAAATTATATATTTTGAGTTCGTAAGGTCATGGATAACATTTATCTATTAAATTTTTTGGAATTCATGCATGTGGGCCTGAGGGAGACTTTTAGGCACTTTTTCAGCTGGGTTGAAAAATCACTCTAATAGTTAAATTATAAACTTTTGAACATATATATTAATTGATTTATGCCTCATTTAATTAGTTTCGAATTGTTTAGCGTTGTTTTGAGGCGACTAGTATGGTTTGAGGGTCGAGTAGAGGGCTTGAAAGCAAGGTAGGTCTCTTGCCTAATCTTGTAAGAGGGGATTATCCCCGTAAGTGATTTAATTGTTATGTGCTACTTGTTGTGGGTGTTGCGTAAACATGAGGTGACGAGAGTCCGTACGTAGCTAAAATCATGTTTATGTCCGAGTAGACTTAGAAC